GGGCTTGTGAACAGCACCTGGAGTGGGGGGGTGGACGGAAGTCCTATAGGATGGAGCCCTTAACTTGGGGAATCTGGTACTGTCTCCAGGCAGATAGCACCAGAATTGAGTTGAGTTCTCCAACACTCTGTTGGTGTTCAAGAATTGCTTGGTGTTATGTGGGGGAAGATCCCCTCCCACATACCCACCCACATTGGAATCAGGTCTGAGAACCTGAATGGAGTTATACTATGACTGCTGTGTATTCCTATATATGTAGGAAAACACACTCTTGCACACATATTTTATGAAACTATTCTGAAAGCTTGAATTTTAGATTATTACATTTGCTTGTTAATTTCATTTAAATTTTCCTGTTTTTCACATATTAGTATGTGTTCGTGTAGACAGAAATTTCTTCCATCTGACTGTAGGTTGTTGAAAATTGTCTTTAATTTTGGTTTAGTGAATATGCTAGGTTGTTTCTTTAAAATATAGCAATGTAGTGATAATGTAGGATTCTTTTATCTAACCCATTATGGTATTGGTTTCTTTTCTCCTTTAATGATTAGTACTTCTTTTCTGTTATTGGCATGGGTAGGTTTGGATACTCACAGGCAACAAGCCTTAAATATCTAAACCATAAAGGCATTTTTGTGGGAATATTGCACAGTTACTTTGCAACACTTTCCTCAGAGCCATGGACCAGTAACTATTGATAATCTCTTCAGTGTTGAACTCTTCCTGGCCTATTTCAGAGCCCCAGTCATTGATTTCACTTATTTGGATCACAAATTTTCATTTTCTGGCCTGGAGTTTAGTTTTGACTGGGCACATTTCCCAGGAATAATGAGTATTTGCTTTAACACACAGCATCTGTGATATTTCTTTTGCAATTCACTTATAGGAGAACCCTCTGTTATTAATAGCCTGGAGCAATAGTTCTGTGAATGAGACCGAATGGGTGGCTTTTCCTCTTTTGATTTCCTGACACGACAGATGGTATAACATAAACACCCACTTCCTCAAAAGATGTAACTGAAAATGCCTTCCATTGGAGGTGGAAACCAGACCACGTACAGAAGGGTTACTGATCTAGCGTGTAAGCGTGCTTACAACAAGCAAGGAAGCAAGCAAGCAACCTCACATCTCTCTCTCTCATTGATGAGGGGCCTCAGACCCTTTTTCAAGTTAATTATAGTTTCTGTAAAGTCAAGTTTTTGTAGTGTGACAGTGATTTCCACAAGCCTGGCTCTTGGATTCCATTTCCAGCTCATTCTATAAATGGGCAGACTCCTCCCCACCTACGTATTCTTAGAAGGCTACGCCCAGACTGATGACAGTACTTAAATGAGGCGAGGGGAGAAAGGGCTAGAGCCGAGGGTGGTCCTCACAGGGGGCTCTCAACGTGCCTATAAAAGTCTCATTGTTTGTAAGACAGATGAATAGCAATATTCATTATTACAATACATTTTTTAAGTTCAAAACCCTCCACCTTCCCTGCTCCAGGTCATCCACTTCCTGTGCCCTGGTGTTAATACTGCAACTTATCTTGTTCCCCAACTTAGCTTTTCCAGCATTTTCTGTTACTCTACAGAAGTGTATCCTGTCACGGAAATGGAAGTACAGCAGAGAGAATATAACCAATAATATTGTAGTATCTTGGTATGGTAACAGAAGGTTACTGCACTTACCATGTGAGCATTTAGTAATGTACATCATTATTGAATCGCTATGTTGTACATCTGAAGCAAATATAATATTGTATATCAGCTACACTGCAATTAAAAAAATAGAAGTGTATCCTAAAATCCTGTCCCTCCCCTACTCCCATTTTTAGGTAATATTTTAATGTATTTCCTCTGGATCAGAGTATGGATGAATAAATATGTTTATTTATATATAGTTTGGATGGTGCTCCTTAATTAAATACATGGAACGTACATGTCTTCCCAGTGTGCCTCAGCCTTTGTCATAGTAACTCCATACATGTGTTTAATACAGCAGAGTCCACAAAATAACCCCCTTCCCTCCCCTCCTTCCTGCTGCTTTCTCCTCTTATTAAACTATGGTAAACACTCCTGGGTGAGCCTCTACCTATAACAGAATGGAAGGATTATCTTAATCATGTTCAACCACTCAATTCCCTCTTTCCCCATTACACAGTCTCCAGGGTGATATGGATATCTGCAAGGAAATAGTAAATGGAAAAGAAGCCTCCATTACAAGACGGCATTATCTGTAATGCCTGTTTATGGCAAGGGCAAGAGCCCAAAATAGTACTTTTACAATTGTTTTTTATATAAAAAATGATTGGATTTAGGAGTAGATTGAATACATTATCCTCTGAGAAGCTGTTTATGGAGTGACAGCACCTGTGTGTAGATTTCTGCCATCAGAAGGACAGGAAAAAGCAATTACAATCACTAATTGGTCTTCTTTTGATCTCTTTTATCCCTCAACTCCATCTGTCATAATATCATCATCAAAGTATTTCTAAAAATATAGATTTGATTTTAAAATATAATTTTCCTGAGTAAGAACCTTTCCTGGATCACTATTATCTCCCAAAGCAGGTCATCTGAATTCCTCAGCCTGATGTACAGATTCTTTTAAAATATGGTCCGTCCTCCCTTTCCAGGCCTATGCATATCCTCTGTGTCACAGACTCTGCGTTCCGGGTATGCAAAGTGACAGAGTAACTAACAGTCTCTGAACTTGCCAGATGCTACCACTCTTCTGTGACTTTACTGTGCCTGCTGGCAAAGTATACCTTGTGGCCACCTCTTCACTGGTTGAGCTCCTACTCATCTCTCAGCATCCAGCTCAAATGCCCCTCCCTTGTTAAGACCTCCCTAGACATGATTAATTGTTGCCTCCCCTCTGTATCCTTGAGCCTTTGACTTGGATAAATACAGAACTTATTATAACAAACTCTGTTTTACTGTGTGCAGGTATTTCTTCTTTTATATTCCATGAAAGTCTTGAAAAGCAAGACTATATACTGTGTTCACTCTTGTAATGTCAGTGCCCAACCTGGGGTCTATTAGACATTCAATGTTCATTTTACAGGAGAATGAATCACTCATTCATAGAATGACCATTCAGTAATGCTGCAAGAAAGATCTGCTCTTATCACTATCATTGAAACCCTTAAAAAAACATGGCTGTCTCTCAGTCACAGAAGGGACTCTGGGAGATGACTAGTGTGATCTCTTCCTGATCTTCCCATTTCAGGGCTGCTCAGTTCTCAGAGACTTTCTCCAAATCACTCACCTCCTTGGAATCCTTAGTGTTTGGTATTAGGTGACTATAAAACTGCCCACCAGCTTTCTTTTCGTAAGAAATATTACTTCTTTTTATCATTTTTTTTCTCAGTTCTCTTCTAATGTTCCTATCAACACAGTTAATGATCACAAATAGGCAATTCTATTTGGCCCATGGTGCTAAGTTCAGGGTTTTTCCTGCCATGGTGTTAGAGAACTTGAGGCACAAAAGAAATGCAGGAGGACAACCAAAGACACATGGATTAGAAAAAGGGAAAGTGCAGATGGCATAATTAGAAGGGAAGGGTCGTGGACAGGTTGTCAGTCACTCCCATCTAAGAAACAGACCCATAAGAACTACATAACTAACTCAGCTTAACAATTTTTGAATTTATGAATTTCAGACTGGAGAAGTGCAGTAAGATATCCACTGAAGCAACTGTATGATTAAATTTGCAGAATTTTAGTGTTAGAAGAAACTTTACAATTCATTTAACTAACATCCTCATTTTACTAAGATAACAAAGCATATGACTTCTTCAAGATCCCACAGTTCTAAGAAAATAAAGTATATAAAACAAAACAAGAGGATGCCTAGAGAGAACATGGTGTAGTGCACTGGTTTTTACATTTTTTTTTCCCTAGGAATGGGAATCCGATTCATTAAGCTTATGGTAGAGACAGTGAGCTGTCTAATGCAATGCTCATTCTTAGTAACAGAACCCTGACTTCACCTAGGGCAGCAACATGACCAGCTTCACTGGCAGTGTAGAGGCCAAACTAAGTACTAGCCAGTAAAAATGTAAGTGAAACACTCTTTCTTAGTCTTTTTTCCCTTCTGTTTTATAGAATGCAAATGTCACTCTGATTTCCAGCAGCCACTTTGGATGATGAGGATGCACACACTGAGGAATGATAAAGTAAGACAGAGAGAACCTGGGTCCCTGGCACTGAGGTCAACCACACATGCAGGGCCACAGCTATGGGACTCCCCGGACTGCCTACCTCTAGACTTTCACATGAGATAATCAAATTCCATCTTCTTTAAGACACAGTTATTTTGAGTTTCCTGAATTTACTCCTCATCGATTAACTACTCTTGCTATCAAGGAGTTTAAGACCCAGAGTAAGAATATTTGGCACACTATAAAGATTTACTAGAAAGATAAGTACACTGAATTCTTTGTAATTATTAGATTTGTGAATAATTGAGCTACAAGGAAGTAGAATTTTAGATTCATCAGGGAAATGAAAAATGACAAAATGTTTATAGGAACATGGTAAACATGGAGAATGGTGTGGATGAATACATGAGACCACTGATATTATAGGGGCCAAGTAATATTTTTGAGGTTTAAAAAATTAAAAAAGAAAACATTTTAAACTAAAAGCAATAACTGATGAATATTTCTATGAAGGAAAACTTTATTGATTTACCTATATTGCTTTTTAAAAGAGAATATGTCTGTCTTTTAGGTCTTTTCTACTGGGATTCTCATCCCTGATCACTAATGACCAGAAGTGGAATTCTGGGAAGTCATACACACTCAGTCCCCCCTCCCCCTGCTGTTCTAGCAGGAGTGCCTGAAAAGCAGCACCACGGACCCCGTCATGCAGAACATGTCGTGGGGACACATATCATGGCAATTGTAAGCATTTTAAGTAGAGATATTAAGAGTTTAAAAATTCAAATCATTAAATGAAAACAGAGTTCAAATAACAATAATAGTGAAGTATCAGTATTGAAGAGCATACCACAGTACCCTGGGGTCCCACACACTGTCTTCATAAGCACTTGATGTTCCACAATTTTAGAGAGTCCAAAATCCGCTAACAACACAAGAAAAAAAGTTAATGTAGCAAGTCTTCTCAGCTTTACAACAGAATACTTCTGTCATTCAAAACAAATCTAACTTATGTATTGGTTTGTCTGGTACTTGACGATGGGCTAGATGTAGGGGGAATATTGTCACCTGGAAGAGGAAACTGAAAAAAAAAATTTTTTAGTCTTGCTTTAAATTGGAGAAAAATAGGACTCCCAAGTACATTTTATGCTCTTTTCTATAATTTCTAGCTTTTAGCAAATAACCTATCTCTTCTTAAAGTAATAGTTACAATAGATAAATTTTGTGTAATATTGATTCTGAGATTTACAAAACAGTAACTCTAAAAGACAACAAAGAATTAGTGATATAGTTGAGACCTTTCAATCCATTGGAAGAAATCAAAACAAAAATGAAGGCTTTCCTAAATACCAAAGAAATGAGCAGAAATATCAAAAGGTTTATTCTGTTTCTAAATAAATAATGTCATTTCCTAGTGTATTTGATGGGTAAGACTTTACTCTCATATGAGAAATACAAGTTTTTTTGGGGGCAAAAATCCCTTTTATTCATTCCTCAGAATATTATCTAGGTGAAATATTATCAAAAGTCTCCCTCATTATGGTCTCTTTGCTGGACTACATCTCCGTCACTCAGGAGACCTCAGGAAACCATTCAAGGCCATTCTTGAAGAGAGGCAGGCACCAAACGCACACCGTTTTAGACTTCAAAGATAAACCCACATTTCCACGGACGTGCTGATGCTTATCAGAAAAAGCAGCAGGAAGTCCTTCAGAAAGAAAGGCTCCCCTGTCTAAATTTGTATCTATCTATCCATTTAAAGAAATTTCTTCAAGGATAAAATCTTTTAAAGTGTTGTCAAAGGAAATGGGAGCCTCCCTGCTGCCCGCTGCCTTTCAGGAGTGATTATAGGAACCAGCCGGCTGCCCAGCAGGGGGGCTCCTGTACTTTTTCTTTAGAATCTTGCATTCACACAGCACATTATGTTGTCTGAGCTCTTCCATGATATGCATAACTTAATTTTATTAACACCTATGAATACAGCGAACTCATCGGATTAGCACTGTAAAGGCAGGGCAAAAACAGCAATGGCCAGCAGGGAATTTAATGGAGGTTTTAATAAGAAGAATTCATCTAAAATGAATCATGTATATATTTTTTACAAAGGAAGCTATGCTTTGGAAGGGACATGGAAAGTACCATTTAATTCTTCTAAAATCTAAATGCTGATTTAATGATCTCTTTGGGTAGACGAGACTTGCTCAAAAAATTTCTCTTTCGAATTCTTCAGAATACTTATTGGGAAAAAAAAATCAGGTTTCCAGAGGCTTGAGAAAAGCCTCACAGTACACTAATTTACAGATCAGCATTTTTAAGGTTCGGGGAGGTCCTGTGGAAATAAAAATCCTGTTTAAGTTGGCATTTCCAAACTTATTTGATTGACCTTAGCACCTCCGCAAACCACTCCCACCTCCCCCCAGAAGGGAATCATTCACCCTTGTTCACTCAGCTGAGGAACCTGTGTTCTGTGGAGTGCACTTTGGGAATACAGATCTCAATTTAGCTCTGTTCCTATAAACAAGTGACTCAGAGCCTAAATTCACTGATATGTGTACCAAGCACTTTGTGTCAAAGCTCTTGATTATCTAAAATTAAGCTCTAGCTAATTTGTGGAACAAAAATTAATAACCAAAAAAGAAGTGCTATGTTGTCTGTGATTTTTTTTCTATATAAACTTATGTACAAAATACAAGGTCACCTCCTGAAGTCCCTTTCATTTCTAAGAGCTGTGTTTCCTTTGTGTGTCCAGCAATTGAGCACCAACTTCTAGGCACCAATTCCTGATTAATATACCAGGAAAGAGCACAGATTTCCAATACAATGCATTATGCCTTTACTGATACCAAATATTCAAAGATTGAGCAATATTTTTAAATTCCACGGAATAAATTTATTCTGTTCTGGAAAAGGAATCATAAGACATCAGGAAATGTCCTCACCGATTTTGAGTGGGGCATCTGGAGCTGGAGTTGCATAGAGAAGATTCTCTGGTTTGAGATCACGATGGACAATCCCATTTTCATGTAGGTACTAAGTAGGAAAAATAATAAAGTAATAACACTCATGAAATTATATTTATGGTTCCAACATTTATATTTAATTTTTTCAGAATTATATCTTTACTAAGTTATGTGATTCAACAACACATAGTATGATTTAAAAGTAAACATAAAGGAAAATGTTTTTAACTATAAGTCATTTAAAAATAGCTTATATATAGTCACCTAAAAGTAAGATGCAATTTAAATTGTATAGAACCAATTGCCAGAAATAAATAAGTACTCCTCAGATACTATTAGCTGAAGTTTTCTCTTTATGCATATTACTATATCAGCTCAAATTGGCTAATTATTATAATAAAGTCAAGGTTCTGTATATTGAAATTTGGTTTACAATCTGAAAAGCATAATTGTATGTGTCATCTTAGAAATTCACAACCATAGCAAAGACTTCATAATTATTGTTTGAATAGACATTTAGATGTAAGTAATTATTATAGAGAACTGTCCTTAACATGATAACTATTGTTTAATGACAATGGACGCTCTCAGGCTCTTCTCAGGATTAGTAATTCTGACTGTCAATGTAAGCTGCTATTTTAGAGATGATCTTAAATATCACCTCTAGCAACTCCACTCATTTTATTATATTTGAAATTATTTTGTAAATTACACATAGTCACACATGTAACATACTCTCATTGTGAATGCTGACCCTGACTCTCCTTCCCCCAGGCTCAGACCTCTCTCCGAAATTAATCACATAGCAGTCCAAAATGGTATGGACTTGTTTCTAGGCATTTGTAAACAGGAATACATATATACAAGGATATATCCCTCATTTTCTTGCAAAAATGTATCATTAATATGAATTTTTTATACTTTTTTCACTTAACAATATGTCTTTGAAACCTTTCCCACATATCACTACAGCTTATTCTATTTAACTTTTGCATCCATATTGTTGTATGTATCATAATTTAATTTATTTTGCTATTCCCTTTTTGATGGACATTTACATTTTTAAAAATTACAAATAATGTAGTAATCAACTTTCTAACACTTGGATACTTGGATATTTTTGTCAGTGTTTCTCTAGGACAGATACCTGGGAGCAGGTCTGGTGGGGTCACAAGGTAGATTTTTATTTTAATATATACTGGAAGATCACTCTCCTAAAAGACTCCACCAGAATTTACTCATACAAACTGTGTAAGTATATATGTTTTCCTAATCTCTTCACCCAATGCATATTGTTAACTTTTGTTGAGGTGGAGTGTTAAGGTTGAATCTTAACTTTGGTTTAATTTATCTTTCTCTATTTACTGGTATACTGGAGCTCATCTTATGAATTGCTTGTTCATTTCTGTTGCCCATTTTTCTGTTGGATCAAGAGAAAAGTTGCCAGGATGCCCTAGTTTTTCCCCTTTTCTATCTCATAGGGGATGGGAGAGAATCCTTTCTTTCTATTTAAGTCAAGAGTTTTAGACTTCAAAGATAAACCCACATTTCCACGGACGTGCTGATGCTTATCAGAAAAAGCAGCAGGAAGTCCTTCAGAAAGAAAGGCTCCCCTGTCTAAATTTGTATCTATCTATCCATTTAAAGAAATTTCTTCAAGGATAAAATCTTTTAAAGTGTTGTCAAAGGAAATGGGAGCCTCCCTGCTGCCCGCTGCCTTTCAGGAGTGATTATAGGAACCAGCCGGCTGCCCAGCAGGGGGGCTCCTGTACTTTTTCTTTAGAATCTTGCATTCACACAGCACATTATGTTGTCTGAGCTCTTCCATGATAAGCATAACTTAATTTTATTAACACCTATGAATACAGCGAACTCATCGGATTAGCACTGTAAAGGCAGGGCAAAAACAGCAATGGCCAGCAGGGAATTTAATGGAGGTTTTAATAAGAAGAATTCATCTAAAATGAATCATGTATATATTTTTTACAAAGGAAGCTATGCTTTGGAAGGGACATGGAAAGTACCATTTAATTCTTCTAAAATCTAAATGCTGATTTAATGATCTCTTTGGGTAGACGAGACTTGCTCAAAAAATTTCTCTTTCGAATTCTTCAGAATACTTATTGGGAAAAAAAAATCAGGTTTCCAGAGGCTTGAGAAAAGCCTCACAGTACACTAATTTACAGATCAGCATTTTTAAGGTTCGGGGAGGTCCTGTGGAAATAAAAATCCTGTTTAAGTTGGCATTTCCAAACTTATTTGATTGACCTTAGCACCTCAGCAAACCACTCCCACCTCCCCCCAGAAGGGAATCATTCACCATTGTTCACTCAGCAGAGGAACCTGTGTTCTGTGGAGTGCACTTTGGGAATACAGATCTCAATTTAGCTCTGTTCCTATAAACAAGTGACTCAGAGCCTAAATTCACTGATATGTGTACCAAGCACTTTGTGTCAAAGCTCTTGATTATCTAAAATTAAGCTCTAGCTAATTTGTGGAACAAAAATTAATAACCAAAAAAGAAGTGCTATGTTGTCTGTGATTTTTTTTCTATATAAACTTATGTACAAAATACAAGGTCACCTCCTGAAGTCCCTTTCATTTCTAAGAGCTGTGTTTCCTTTGTGTGTCCAGCAATTGAGCACCAACTTCTAGGCACCAATTCCTGATTAATATACCAGGAAAGAGCACAGATTTCCAATACAATGCATTATGCCTTTACTGATACCAAATATTCAAAGATTGAGCAATATTTTTAAATTCCACGGAATAAATTTATTCTGTTCTGGAAAAGGAATCATAAGACATCAGGAAATGTCCTCACCGATTTTGAGTGGGGCATCTGGAGCTGGAGTTGCATAGAGAAGATTCTCTGGTTTGAGATCACGATGGACAATCCCATTTTCATGTAGGTACTAAGTAGGAAAAATAATAAAGTAATAACACTCATGAAATTATATTTATGGTTCCAACATTTATATTTAATTTTTTCAGAATTATATC